AAAGCGTTAAAACTGGGTCATTCATTTTGAATAACCCTGTATAATAAATATAGACATAGTAAAGGAGTTGAAAATGTTTTTTTTTGTGTTTATTCCACATATTCAATTAGTTATGCTGTGTAAGCACCTAGCTACTCAATTTAATACTTTAACTAAAACAGTTGAAGCACAAAGTCACCAAATTTTTTTCCCTATAATTCCTAATAAAGGTATAATGTTTTATAATTATACATTTTCTCTGATAAAAAATACAATTAAAAAGTATAAATACAAATAACTTATTAACCATGCGTTCTTGAAACGTATCCATAGTGTTTTTGACTGATTTTATAAGCCTGGGTTTTCATACAATGTTGGAAAATACTTAAGGAATTATTAGGTACATTAAGTGTACTAAATACATTAATAGTGCAGTCATGACAGAATTAATTAAAGTTTTCTTAACATAAAACCAGCCAAGTCGAGGCTTGAAAAAGCTGAATTTAGCAGTTGCAAAGATATGCAAGTTAAATTTACTTAAGTTATAATCTTAAAACAAGCAGAAAATTCAAACCAATCAAATATTTTTTATAGTGTAGCTTACTTGAAATGATAAATAGTAAAAAAAAAAACATTAAAATTCTGTAAGTAATGTGAAACTGAAATGTGATAAAATCGACACGCTCGCGAATTCTCTCAGCTATTCCACTTTAACAATTACTGACTTGGTAGGACAATTTATTTTAGTGATGGGCGGATCCAAAGAAAATGTCGGTACCGGATCCGGATCTTGAAAAATTCGGATCCGGATCTTCGGATCTGCGGATCCAGATACACACTGTCATAAGGGCAGGTTAAAAAAAAGTAATTAACAGAATGCCAATTTAAATCATACTGTTTAAAATTAAATTGGTAATGTTTAAAGGTAATCTAAAAGGTAATGTTTAAAGGTATATCTTATATATTATAGAGTAATCTCCAGTTGAGCCCATAATCCCTCATTTTTTGGGGACACTAACAATTTTCAAAATCATAAAATGCACTAAGTTTGCACGACCACCAAAAGGGTATCTGTGTATATTTTACTATAGTTCAATCTTGAGTATGCTATATCGTGGTTTTTGCATGCAGCATCCAATTTATTTATGCCTGGATCAGCTCTTGTTAATCTCTTCCTTAAATTCGTTCCAGGTCCACCCTACTGATAGAGGGTATGTGAAGTTCTACAAGTAAAATACCCCGTGTCTGTGTACAAGAAGTTTATACTGTGTTCTAACTTAGAAAAATATTAGATGGGGGAGTCTTGACTTTTTATTCACCCTGTATATAGGCTACAGAGATAATCTTCTTGTACACAGACACAGGGTATTTTATAGTGATGGACAAGACCTAAAAGATCGAGATTTTATTTTATCACGAAGCATCGGGCGGGATTTGATTTAAATACTAAAGGGATATTTTTGAGACAAGATTATAGGCTGTTAGCTTATCATCCAGGTACAAAACTAAAAACTAGAGGTGTGCAGATATCCAAAAAATCGGGTCGGATTCGGTTCAGAAAGATACATGCCATTGCCATATATGTTATTTGCATCAAGAGACAAACACTGAGACATGGCCTTGCCATATAAGTTATTTGCATCAAGAGACAAACACTGAGACATGACCTTGCCATATATGTTATTTGCATCAAGAGACAAACCCTGAGACATGGCCTTGCCATATAAGTTATTTTCATCAAGAGACAAACACTGAGACATGGCCTTGCCATATAAGTTATTTGCATCAAGAGACAAACACTGAGACATGACCTTGCTATATAAGTTATTTGCATCAAAAGACAAACACTGATTCATGGCCTTGCCATATAAGTTATTTGCATCAAGAGACAAACACTGAGTCATGGTCTTGCCATATAAGTTATTTGCATCTCGAGTCAAACACTGAGTCATGGCCTTGCCATATAAGTTATTTGCATCTCGAGTCAAACACTGAGACATGGTCTTGCCATACAAGTTATTTGCATCAAGAGACAAACACTGAGTCATGGCCTTGCCATATATAAGTTATTTGCATCTCGAGTTAAACACTGAGTCATGGTCTTGCCATATAAGTTATTTGCATCTCGAGTCAAACACTGAGTCATGGCCTTGCCATATATGTTATTTGCATCTAGATACAAACTGCGAGACATGTCCTTGCCATATAAGTTATTTGCATCTAGATACAAACTGCGAGACATGGCCTTGCCATATAAGTTATTTGCATCAAGAGACAAACACTCGGGGAAAAAACGGTCTTGTACAGACAGCTTTGTATTAGTAAAAAAATCGGGGTTGTACAGTGATACGGATTGCTTTATGTATTTTAAAAAATCGGGGTTATAAAGTGATACATACTGCTTTGTGTCAGTAAAAAAATCGGGGGAAATCTGTCTCTTACATGGATACAGACAGCTTTGTGTTAGGAAAAAAATCGGATCCATCAAAACCGGATCCAGCCCAAGATCCGGAATTTTTTGGATCCGATCGGGTGCCGGTTCCAGCTCGGATCCGGTAGTCCGATATCCGGATCCGACCATCACTAATTTATTTCAAACAAACCTTCATATATTCCACTTTCTAAGAGACTACCACTCTCTTCCAGTTGTTGAAACTCTTCAGGCGAAAGAAAAGTATAATCTACCCCATTAACCTCTCCGTCTCTTGGGGCTCTGGTAGTGACAGGCACTGTTCGTAGATATAAATTATCTCGAATCGTATTCTGAAGGTCATGGTCAACAGAGCCTTTCTGAAAGCGAGTGTTCAGGAAGAGGCGTAAATCCTTAGTTATCAAACCTGAAAAAGACATGTTTTCATAAGAAAAGTAATTATTTTATCTATAAACAAGAAGAGAACTAAAAGAACATGATTATACCCCAAACATATGTTTTAGACCATGAATACTAGAACAGACCCAGTATGGATCATGGACATAAACAAATTATGTTACTGGCCCGAAAGTAATCATTATTTAACATGCTTAAATGGAATGGTTCCATGTTAATGTTGTATGTTAATGTTATTAGTATAGGATTCAGGCCAGTTGCATCATTTGTTTATGATCCATATGGGTTTTTGTTCTAATATTCAAGGTTTAGACTAATATATTATTTTAATGAAGATTTATGATATTGAACTAAAGCAAACCTTTTTGCGATTCTCAGATCAGTTAATGATTAAGCCACTGATATAACCGGTAATACACGGAACGTTTGGGGGTGCAATGATTGAAATAAAAACACCATTTGGGGAATTAAATAAAACCCGGCCGACTACATGTATACGGTTTGCTGGAATCTTGAGGACTGGAGAGCAAGGAAACTTTTGGATCGGTGGTTAAAAGTAGAGGGAAAAGTGGCGTGATGGGTTGTAGCCAATCCGGGAGCTTTATTAAAATCATACGATATGACGTCACAGTCGCCTGATCGCAGTCAGGACACAAATGCAAAACATATTGCCAACTCTTTATAACGCAAATCTAAATAGGCCTATCGTAAAAATGGCAACATTATGGTACATTATTGTATACACTACAATATTGTGTTTTGTAAAGTAAACCCTCTGTTTCAACAAAGCAACTTCAACTTAGTCTGCAGGTTTGCATTAACAGGGGCTCAAAAATGATAATTTTGATTAAAAAATACTGCCTATCCAAACAATAATCCCAAATCAACTTACTGTTTAAAAAAAATCGAAAACTAAGCGCATGCAGATTCTGTTGGCTGACTATGACTATAGAAAGATAACATAATTGTGCCAGGAATGGGGGTGATAGGAATGAGTCCGCAAGTTCAATTACTAAGGCATGAATTTTCATGTTTAAAACAGATTAGCCACATAAATCAAATTAGAATTAAACCATGCCACTATGCCTGAAGCTGTTTTCAACGATTTCTTGCTATTTATCACCCATTACCAGGTTTTTAATAATTTATATTTTTCAAATAACCATTTATAAGCAACCAAACAAATTATCAGGAACATTTTCATTCAACATTGGTTCATAGACATCAAACAACCTAATAAGTTAGTAAAAAAAACTTCCTGAACATTACAGTTTAAACGTTTAAAAAGGCTTGTGGATGAATGGTAATTGAAGACCCATTCAAGCCAGATTTATTCAAACTAAGGTATGCTAAGCCTATGTGAGGACTAAGGTATACCAAGAATATTATAGTTTCCCAAGACACCTGGGATATGCAAGCCAATGTAAATTCCACACTTAGCCATAGTTCTTGGATCTTTCACAAAATTCACAGTCTGCAACGTAGAAAATGTAACACTCTTATCACAACCAACACTAGCAAAATAGCAATCCAATAGGCTGTGTATATACATTAAGTTTGTGTTAGTAAGGTATAAAATAAAACGTAATAAGTTATTTAACCAGCTGAGCAAATCAGATGCACATCTAGGCTAGTCTAAACAAAAATAAGGCCTACAATTAATCTAATATCACACTGTAACAAGCTTCCCAACTAATTTACCTGGGTATATTGGTAGGTCTACTTTATGGCTGTTTCTTTAATTTAAAACAAAACCCATTTATAAACCCCATGTATTAATATACAGTAGAACATCTTTAATCCAAACTAATTGGGACCGGGGGTAGTTCGGACTATTGAATAGTTCGGATTACAGAACATATTGTTGTCTTTACATAACAATAGCTAAAACAAGGCTAAAATGGATCGTAATTGCTACGGGAAAAGTCAAAAAACGCTTAAAATACAGTTTTTATTTAATACAGTAGTAAACATAGTGAATAAACAGTAATGTACATTAAATACAGTATACAATATAGAATTACTGTACTGTGTATAACGTACAGCAATGAGGTGTTCGGATTAGTGGACGTTCGGATCACGGGGGTTCGGATTAAAGAGGTTCTACTGTACTTGATTATCCCTACATTCAAAATAGGCCTAGTTCTATCTCGTAGCTGACATAACTCTCAATATCACTTTAAAATCTCTTTTTAAAAAGAGCCTTCAATTAACACACACAATAAAGATGGTAAAAAAGTCTGAGGGGCAAATAAACTAAGAATTCACACACCCCATTAGTTTTCAATCAATCCACTTTTAAGTAAGGTGGGCCTAAGCTAGCTCTGCCACAGACAGTGAAGAACTATTCAAAAGTTTGAGACAATTTTTTTTTATGTAAGTGGTTCTTAATAAGGAGATGAAGCATTCTCAGACATGGATTATAATTTGGCGACCCAGGACCACAGCAAATGAGTTAAGGGAATGAGTTTGAAGTACTAGCATATACATTGATGGATTACATCACATAGGCTAAATGTAAGGGTCTACAGAAGGTAGAACGGAGGGAAAATCAATCATCAATTTATTTTAATTATATCAATAATTTAAGATGGGGACGCTACTATGTGCATATTTCAACATAAATATAAGTGTAGGATGTGTGGCGCCTGTAGTCTTGTTAGTGACTAAAGCCAACATGTTCCTTACAATTAAAATTTTGTCATTGGTTTTTTTTGAATTTTGAAAACAGGCTCCCCAAAATATTTCAAATCCGATTTTAAATTTGTGTCTCAGGGTACTTCACGAATGTCATCATGTGACCACAGCTTATGACAGGGCTTTTGTTGTTACCGCTTGTCGTCTGTGGAACCCCGGCACATTAAGACACTTGAAATACATCCCCAGTTTGTGGTAGCACTGAAGAAGCTCTACTTTGAGAAGATGGTGTCGGCTGGCGTGTCCTATGGCTACTGTTTCTTTGCGCGTTTGCTGATGCATGTATGCGCGAGTGTGTAAATGTGTTTGTTTTTTTTAGTTAAGTTTGTATGTTTTTTCTCTTTTTTCTGAGAAATGTAGGTATTTGAATTGTTAAATATTTTGATTTTTAATTAGATTAAGTTATCCCGTAATATTATTTCTTTATTTATGAATGTCAGGTTAAGTGTAAGAAAGGGCCATGTGGCCCTAACTCTGCCTGAAAAAATAAACCATTTTAATATCATGTTCCTCCATACAGCCTATAGCAATTAAGGGACCTACAGTTTATAGTGGAATCCGAACCACATTTTTTCCTTGCAATTAACGAATTGATCTAATTATCAGGATAGCACTGCGGATAGTCTTAGTACTCACTAGTGTGGTTGTTAATCCACACCAGGGAGCATCGCATCCACAGTTTTTTGCAATGGAACACCTGATGATTCTTAGCAAGGTACCGCCGTCTAGTCAAGAAACACTATCCTGAGTCTGTCTATGCATTTCTTTGTTGTTCTCATTAATGAGTAATAGCTATGACAATTGATAGAATTAGACATTCCATAGGCCATAACTAAATACAGTATGTGGAAAGTTTTTGTGTAAAAAGTTGTGTCTAATTAAACTGAGTGTGCTGATGTAAATTACTGATTTCTGTTGTGCCTAAAACAAATTTTTAACCAAACCAAACTGAAAGAACAAATTATTGTAGTCTATAGCTTGTTATGCCACATCAAGTATATCAAAGTAATAAAAAACTAATGGAGAAAATGAAATTTTAGTCTGTAGAGCACATAGTAAGTGGCTTATTTATCTAGGCCTAAATAAGTTACTGTACCTAGCCTATGTCATTTTGTATAAAACATTTGCTAAAGTTAGTCCGTATAAATAAGACGTCCACTTAAGTAAGTTATCCTAAAGTCGATGGTAATAGCTAGGCCTCATTCTTCTTCGTACTTTGTCCCTACAATTTTACAGTTTGAATAAATGAATAACAAAACAAGCTCATTACCAAATTTGATGCGGGCTACTACAATTGTAGTACCTTAGCACTAACAATGCACACAGCTTCCTGTAAATGCAGTACTGCATTCTCCTCATTCACATTGCCTGGATGTGAGCCCAGCATTCGGCGGGGAACATTGTTATTGTCGCCGTGTGTAGAGCCGGTTTCTTACTTCTTACTTACCTTGTGTGGTTATGGATTAGATTTAGTGACATGGAATAGCATTACTTTTAATGAGTGCAATAGGCCTTAGTGGGGGAGCGAGAGCTGGTGTAGTGGTTAAATCGCGGGACTTTGGTCCCGGGTTCAAATCCCGCCAAATCATCAATGGATTTTATTTATATGATAATGTAACCCCTAGGTCTAGCCTGAAGTAATATAAAAAACAATCCTGGACTCAAGCCTCGCGCCCTAGGACAAAAAAAAATAGGTAGGCCTACGCCTACCTAACCTCATAATTGTGCTTGTCAAAATTGTTGCAGTAGGCCTAGTTTTTTTTTTTTTTTTTTTTTTTTTTTTTATAATAATATGTACACATACTTCACCCCTGCTTTTTCCCTCCATTCAGCAATATTGAGGGCCTGTTGGCACAATTCGTCAGTGCTGTTAAGTTATCTGTTGCTATTAGTTTTTTGTTTTGTTTTTTTTGTTTTTTAGGGGGGGAGTGTAAATATATTTTTCATACATAGGAAATTTATTTGCATGACTTTGACTATGCATAACTATGAGAGGGGCTGCTGCACCGACATATTTACCGCCGGCTACTACAAGTGTGGGGTTTCCTGACCCCCTGAGAACCGTACCTCAGGTACTGGGTAATGCAGAATCAAATAAAGCAGAGATAGTGGGACTTAGCGGGGAGTTAGAGGCGGTTAAAGAGATCCTTGGGTTGTCTTTGGAGACCGATACCCAGACTCTTAGAGAACATCTGGCATCGGTGGTGCGGCAGGCGAGGGGCTCGCCGAGTAATGGGGTCGGCTATGGGTTCGGAAGACCCGCCAACCCTACGTCCCCTGTTGTGGCTGCTCCCACGCCTACCTTTGGGTTAC